GAGAGGGTCTCAGGACAGCCACGTCACTACTTCCCCTCGCACTTTCCAGATACATGGTGCTCTGCCAAAACCTCCACATGTGTTTTTGGACAGAAGCTGGGGGACACTATGTTAAGCAGTGCCCGAGAGGGCAGAAGTGATGTAATCTCTCCCAGATGCTCACGGCACCAGCACCCCAGCCTCAAGATGCATCAGATTATCTTGGAGGCTGTGGAAATGCAGAGTCCTTGTCCTTGCTCTCAAAGTCTGTGCACTAGGAGGAGGATAACAGTCTATGCATTATCAATGACACTCTAGATTATTCTGATACTAGAGGGCTCTGTCAGCAGTTAAAGCAGTACTACACTGACACATCAATGTCCCCCAAAGGCCATCTCTTCATGAGACCTCACGTTTGGAGCTGTACATGCTGTAAGTTAACACAGATGCTTGTGCCATGGCCTGTGGCCTGCCTTCTCGTTTCTCCCTCTTCCTAACCTCTGCCAACCACTGATCTTCTGACTGCTCCACATTTCTGCCTTTTCTAGAGCGGTACACAGTTGGAATCTCACTGTATGGAGGCTGTTCAGACCTGCTTATTTTAAGATTCCTCCATGTCTTTTCATGGCTCAATACCTTATCCACTATCTGAATGTACATAGTTTTACCCATTCATCTACTACAGAGCGTCTAGGCCACTTCCAAGTCTATGCAATTATTAACAAAACTGTCATAAACATTGATATACAGGTTTTGTGTGGGCCGAAGATTTTATCTCATCTGGGTAAGTATCAAGGTACACAACTGTTAGACCAGAACTACTTCCATTTTACGCATGTGGAAACCAAGACAAAAAGAAATCAAACAGTCTGCTTAAAATCATACATCTATTAAGTAAGAGAGCCGGGAATCTGAGTTCATTTCTTATGTTTTCCCCTAAACCACTAAACACACAAAGTCCCACTGTATTTTATTAGAGATTTGTGAACCACTCAACATTCTCTCTAGAAAACAAGTTCCCTGAGGGTAGCACAATCATGAGCTTTAGTAATGACAAGAAAATGGCCTGCTACAGAGAGCAGGCTGGTCTTCAGCAGGTTATACTTTCTCTGTACAGGCTAAAGGACAGGGGACTTTCTATTGTAACAGCTCAGGCTGATTGTTTCTCCTGCCTCAGCCATCTGAGTAACGAGCATGAGCCAGAGCACCCGAGTCTTGAGATTCAGTTTGACTGTGTGGCACTTAACATGAGTGACCCCAGTTTGGCTTGGTCTTCTGGGGCCTCAATGTAAGAGCTCAGTCCAAATCTGTGGGAGATCACCAACCTGTGCTCTCCAGAGAAAAGAAGCCCTTTGCCTCCAACTGTTCCTGAGCTTCATTTCAGCTCTACTCACTGAGATACACAGAGCTGGCTATATTGAATCAAATGATCCCTTAGCTACCTGTCTTAGTTACTTTATGCTCGTCGCTGAGACAAAATACCTGATGCCCAAGTTGGGAAAGGAAAGGTTTATTTCTTACAGTTTTTCGAGGTTTCAGTCCACGCTCAGTTGGCTCCCAGGCAGGTGGGCATGACTGGGCTGCAGTTCATGGCGGCCGCAAACAGCAAGCTTGAGCCAGCAAAGAGAGAGACATACCTTCTTCCTGCCATTACATCACATCCTGGCTCCACCCCTATGTGGGTGGAGCACTGACACCATCAATCCAACCACTAGGCAATGAACCAATCACAAATACACAATGCAAACTCATGAGGCCTGGGGGACACAGACATAAACCATTCCACCCCTGGCCCCCAGGACTCATGTACATCCTTTATACAAAAGACATTTAGTCCACCTCCAAGAGTTGCCAAAGTCCTAACAGCTTCAGCATTGCTGAAAAGTTCAAGTCACAAGTCTCCTCCAAGATCTATGGTAAACTCATAACTGTAACCCCCTGTACAAATGAAACGAGGTTAAACATTACTGAAATGCAAAGGCACAAGATAAACATTACCATTTCAAAAGTTACAAACAGGGGAATATAAAGCATTGGAAACAAAGTAAGTCCAACATCTAGCAGGATGAACATTAAGTCCTAGAGTTCCAAGCTCAGCATCTGAAGCAATTTGGTTGCAAGCTCCAAAAGCCTTTGGGTGGCTCCAAAAGCCAGGGCACTTCCAGCGATTTCAACTCCCACAGCTTTTTCTCTTAAATCTTCTCTGCTCGCTTTTTGTTGCTTCCCTTGGATCATCCACATTCCTAGCTTTTCCAAACTTCTGGGGTCTCCACTGCACCTTCGGCTTCACACTTACATCTTTACAAACTCCCTCTCAGGGGCACACTGCTTGGCCAGCCAGGCCCTTTGCAATCGAGGTGGAAGCCGTCTTACCCTCAGAATTTGTGCATTTTCCTTGCACCTAAAAGTTGTGGATGCCGCCAAGGTTTGCTGCTAGCTGAAGCACTAGCCAGGCTTTTCTCTCTCTTGGCTATAGGGATCAGTTGCCTGGATCGCAGGGCTCTGTTTACCTGATTGTGAGAAAAAGCTTCTCTATGTTGCCGCCATCCTGGAACCTCATGTGGCCGCTGTCGCCATTCTGGAACATGGCGCTCTGCAGCTTTTCCCTCTGAGCAAATTTTTTCACCTTTGCTGTGAGGCTGCACAGGGTGGAGACCCGCTTCCTGGGATGCCCCGGGGCCATCTTTCTTATCTCTCTGTTTCTCCTCAGGAATCAAAATCTCAACTCTGTCTTTACAATCCACAACCTTCCTGGAATTTTCCTTCGGGCCAAACTCAGAGCATTGTACATTATCCTGCTAGGCTCTTTGCCCCTGATTTGAAACATAAAGCTGGCTGAAAGCCCCCAACAATAGCCATGCCACAGCCTCAATGTTCAATTGCTTTTTAATTTCTTTTTCAAGATTAATCAGTCCATTGCCCTATGTCTCAGTCTCAGGCAAAGTCTCTGGGCAGGAGCAAAATGCAGACAAACTTTCTGCCAAGGCATAAAACACATCATGTGGAGTCTAACACCAATGCAGTCCTTCCCAGCAGAAACCTGGCAAGCCTGGTCTTTACAATCCAGCTTTCTATCAGCTTTCTGGTCTCCTGAGCTCTGACCAGAATCTCCTCTACAGAACAGCCTAAACTGCTCCAGCTCTATGCATCCAGGCGACATGTCTGAACCTTTCCAAACCCCACCCACAAGCCATTTCCAAAGCCTCTTGAAAAGCATGGCCAGGTATAGTCACACGAACGACCCCACTCTCGATACCAAATTCTGTCTTAGTTACTTTATGCTCGTCGCTGAGACAAAATACCTGATGCCCAAGTTGGGAAAGGAAAGGTTTATTTCTTATAGTTTTTGGAGGTTTCAGTCCATGCTCAGTTGGCTTCCAGGCAAGTGGGTATGGCTGGGCTGCAGTTCATAGCGGCCGCAAACAGCAAGCTCAAGCCAGCAAAGAGAGACATACCTTCTCCCTGCCATTACATCACATCCTGGCTCCACCCCTATGTGGGTGGAGCACTGACACCATCAATCCAACTACTAGGTAATGAACCAATTACAAATACACAATGCAAACTCATGAGGCCTGGGGGACACAGACATAAACCATGACACTACCCAAAAGCATGTGATCCAGTCTGGTCAAGATGCCACTGTGTCTCACTGCAGCACATGGACATGAACTGTCCCCTCGCCCAGCTACTGGGTGGAATAGGGACTTGAGTAAGAGCCTGTGAGATTCCAGGACTATGACATGAGACAACATCTCAGCTGAGGCCATGGGACTCAGCCAGAACTATACCTTCCTGGCAGAAGAGGTGTCAGCCTTGAGTACATCAAGCTATCCCTTGTATTGCTAACTGAAGGGGGCCTCTGTGCCTGGTAAAAAACTGCTCTATTTTGCTTTACAGGCAATGTCTGCAGAGTTTCTTTTTCCTAGCACTCTGCTGCGGCCCCCACCCACCTCCCTGATTGATACCAATAAAATCCTTGAGCTTTTGGAATCATAGCCACAGAGAACACTGGTCATCTCCAAGCTCCTCAATTGCTGGTTTTGCTCTGTCTTTATTTCATATCCATGTGCAAAATACTGCCAGGTGGAAGACCTGAACCCTCTGTGGGGATTTTGGTACAAATCAATGGACTCCCATAAATTTTATTTAATGGATCTCACACTGAATAATGAATTCCTAGTTATGTGCTTCATTTTGAAACAGTTATACTGGATTCTGCACCATTATTTCCATTTACAATTCCTTTACATGCAAGAAACTTTGTAGACCGTCCTTTCCACAGCAAGATTTTCAAACTTGTTTGCTTTTGTTCTTTTGTGAGCCTTCACCCAAATGATTATTCACTGACATCCTAAGGACAGATTCCAGCAACACAGCCCCTTTACACATTTTAGCTGCCTCCCTCTTAAAAGAAATGAAAATGTAGCTGGTTTCCCTATAAGAAAGTACAATGCAAAGACACTTTGAATAGAGGAGTGGCAAATGTTAGCTTTGTGATCTTAAGCACATTTACTAACATCTCTGAGACTTACTAGCTGCCCTGCTGGATTACTGTAAAGATTACATGAGTGTGAATACAGACCTAATTGCATGCCTGACACATAATTCAGTAGCCAGAGATATCTTGGCTTCACTTGCTACCATAACTGACTCCATTCTGACAAGACTCTCTAGCTTTTCCTTTCTGAGCTGCTCTTCCCCTCAGTATATTTTAAATTCCAGAAGCACTGGTCTGATAAATTTTCTGCAAAGCAAATGGAGACTGGTGCAGCCCCACTGATCTGACAGATAAACATCCTGTGAAACAGATGGAGATTGCCCCTTGATGAGCAGCAACTTCTGTGGCAGCAAGAAGACTGTGGGGCCAGTCCCAGGATAATGCTCAACCAGATTGCAACCTGACCAGGATCTTAGCTGTGCAAACTCCTCCACGGCTGCTTTTGCTTTCCCCCTTACACAATCTCAAGGCTGCCACTGGCAATCCCAAAACAGCCCTTAGATCTTCCCAGGGCACTTACCCCAGAAGTGCAGTTCCTTTCCTCTTTCACCATCAGCTTCTCTCCCTGATTTTCTTTTGGGATGAGTAATGAGATCTTGTCTGTGGGGAAGCCCAGCATCACACTTCTGCCCATGGTTCCAGTAACACATACACTTCCGCCAGTCATGTTACTCCTCTTCGCACAACCACCCACACCACCCTCCTGAAAATGTTCATCACCTCCCTTTCCATATTTTCCCACAGCACTTATAAAGAAAACACATTTACAGTGAGTCAAGTTACGTATTTGTGCTATTTACTGTCTGCCTTCCCCAAATAGAATGTAAGCTTTATGAAGCATAGGTTTTTTTCATTTGCCTTGTCAACTGCTGTAGCTCCAAAGCCTCGAATATAGGAATCAGTTTTACTTTGCTTGATCACATTTATTTCTTTAACTTATTATTGATATTCTACCTGAGAGATTTGTGTTTCTAATTCCTTGAAGGATGGGTCAGTTTTATTTTCAGCCAAATATGCATGGTGGCAACCATTTCAAACATCAGGCCAAATCTTCTCTCCATTAGGATGCACTTCCATATGTGAGTTATGTATTTTATTCATAACCCCTCATCAGGATGGGCTGAGGGAAGACATATCTAGGTCTGTATGGCTCAGATGCTATAAAAACTCATCCTAACACCACAGGAATATTTTGTTCTTAAAGAATTCTTAAAATACTCCTTAGGCTCCTTAGTAAAACCTAACAAAACAAACATTAAAAAAATTGAAATGTGCTCACCTCCAAATCCGTAACTTCACATCGAAGCTATATAAAGTCACCTTTTCTTCTCAAGTCATTTCCTAGAGGCCAGCAGGTAACTTTAATAAACAAAGAAACAGAAATATTTTCTTGTTATACCCCTTCAATATTTCTAGCAAGTTTAGTTACCAGAACACAAGACAATGGGCGACCTTAAAAATACACTGTCTAAAGCTCACTACTAATTTCACTGCAGTTTTAAACACACCTTAGGGAAACTCCAAGGCTCTCAGGAGACCACTCACAGTGATCAAGCAAAACAACACTTCAGCAGAAACCCTACTATTTCGTCATTTTAAAAATACATTGCTTAATTCAAAATCTTCAGAAAACACAGCACAAAAAACCAGATGAAGAAAATGTGAACCCAGGGAGGTGGATCTATAAGCAAAGTTTCCATATCCTCTGTCCTTTCCCACCAGCAGTATACGTGGCTATAGGTCTGAACCGGGCTCAGAGATGATACCTCGAATGCCTCGAACCTCATCCTGAGGTGGACAGCAACTAACACCAGAATTTTACAGAGGGCTTTCTTAAAAACTTGGTGGGCAGGGCTCCACTCCTAGCTTGAACTTGGTCTAGGGTAGCACTGAGAAACTGCACTTGTAAGTACAGCCCATGATGCCTCGATGCCTCATGCTTTTAGGACCACTGCACTAGGTAAGCTGTTTGCATTTACTCATCAGCAAGTATTCACACTCACAGAAGGCACTGGGAAGATCTGTTTCCTGGGTTCTGTTCAGCTGTCAAACATTAAAAACTACACTTCAAAATTCGCAGCCCAGTCTTCACAAAAATCACCACCAACCAGCTTAGAAACAGGCTCATATTCCTGTGTGAGAGTGGGGACTAAGGTTCTTGTCAAAATTCTGTTTCAAATTAAACATTTTACCTGAAATCAGGGCTCTGCTACCTAGGGAGTATCAGCAAGAACAAAGACTCCTCATAACCTGTGTCACTTAGGGGAGTAGCAAATACCACAGTTTGCAACACGTTAATGGGAACTTCTAACCAATACATGCTCATGATATGAATATCTCTGTTAATAAATACATATGTTCTACAGATGTATAATTATGTTTAGTGTTAAATATAGTTTGTTATATTTAGTTTGTTAAATATATATGTTATATTTAGTGTTAAATATAGTTTGTTACCTTACTTAAAATTTTTTTAATCAGTAAGTTCAGGTACTTCAACATGAAAATCCTAAAACACTGAGAAAGCAGAGTTTGTTATTTACTTTACCAATTATTTAGTCTAGGAAAGTGCTACAGTGTATATCTAGAAATCACCCCAAAGCTCATGTGGTCCTAAATGAGGCTTTGGGGAGGGGACTGGATCATGGAGTGTGATACTCCTCAGTGGATTATTTTCTTAACGAGCTTATGGCTAGATGAGATGTTGGGAGGTGAAGCTTAGCAGGAGGTCAGTCACTGGGGCGTGGTCAGGAATTGGTCTTTTTCTCCCCTCCCCCACATCTCTCTTTGCTTCCTGCTACCATGCTAGGAAGTCCTTCTCCTCTGCCCTGTCCCTCTGCTGTGCTGCCCTGCCTTGGAGTCACTCAACTATGGACTGAAACCGATACAAACTGTGAGCCAAAATAAACCTTTCCTCCTCAGAGTTGTGCATGTTATGTACAGTGTCTCAGCCATGCGAAAATAACTAAGACACAGAAGCATAAGAAGGTGTTCTACCTGAACAGAGAAGAAACTATTCTGCACAATATGTTTCACATGTCTGGATGACAAGCTTGGATGACTTAAAACATAGTGGGACTTCAAAGGCTAAGATTGCACCTTCTCTAACAGGGCAGGCACAGTAGGATGTCTGACTTAAGTAGTGGTGAACTCATACTATCTGCTCCTGCCTCCTGAGACACAGTAAAAAGATTACAGAAAATTTTAAAAGAATAAGGCCACACAGCAAGGAGTAGAAGGGGTTTATCAATGAACCAGCTATCTCAGTAGTCTAGTGGAGGACAGAAAGTACATGAAGATAAAGGGGCAACTGAAACCAAGAGGAAGAAGTTGTAGTCTGGATTATGACTAGAAAAAGATGCTGAATGTATCTCATTAGAAAAGATATCCAGCCGGGGATTTGGCTCAGTGGTGACAAGCATGAGGTTGTGAGTTTGATCCCCAGTATCAGAAAGAAAAAAGAAGAAATATACAGTAAGAAGAGAGTATCATTTCTTCAGAATGTTAAAAGAATTCATACCAAGCTAAACTATCCTCCAGATTGAAACAAAACTTGAAGAGAATCTGTTGCTAGTGGATTTGACTTAAAAGACTAATCATTCAGGCTGAAATTGAAGAACACTCAATGATAACTCTCAAACTCACAGAGGGAAATAAACAGCACCAAAAAGTGTAACTGCAGACATATATAATTCTTCTCTTGATATGTTTTAAGACACTTGAATAAAACATTAATTATAAAAGTAAACCAATAAACGTAGAACATGTGAAGATGTAATTTGTATTTTATGACAGCCATAGTACAAAAGAAGTGAATGGAATGGAAGTTTTTATGTACTCTGAAATTAAATTGGCACTAATCTAGACTGCCTTTTATATATTAAGGCGTTTTATATATTAAGACGTTTTATATATTAAGACGTTAAATGCACTCCTCAGAGCAAACACTAGAACTGTAACTCAACAAAAACAACAGAATTGCAGAAGTACAATAAAAAATATCTAACATAAGAGAACAAATGACCTAAGAAATAAGGGAGCATAAAATACATAAGACACATTAAAAAAAATAAAGAAATGAACAATCAAAAGAGCAGACATAAATTCTAATTCATTAGTGTTTACATTAAATATAAATGGATTGATTAAATTTAAAAGCCCAGATTCACAGAAAAGATTAAAATTTAAAGACCTGATAATGTCCTGTTGACAGGAAATACACATTGGATTCAAACACAATAGGTTAAAAGTAAAAGGATAGAAATCTATTTACCATGCAAGCAATAACCAAAATAGAGCTGACATAGATATAGGTAATATATAAAACACTCTAAGAAAAAAGTATTAAAAAAAAACATTTTATGGTAAAAAGAAGGTCATCAATTCATCAGGATGATATAATTATTATAAAGGTATGTATCTAAGAACAGTCTCAAAATATATCAAGTAAAAAGTGGTAACACTGAAAGGAGAAACAGAAAATTCAACAATTGTCATCTAGCAAAATGAAACAAGACATTAAGAGGAAATCAGAAGACTTAAACATAATTACCTAGTCCTAACCAACATTCACAGAATGCTCCAAACCCATTAAGCACAGAACTTAACATTCAGTGTACAGAAATAATTCCCCAGGAGAAATCAGATTATCAAATAAGGGAGCTGAGGCAGGCAGGACAGAAGCATGGACAATGAAGTAAGATCTTGTTTCAAAAATGAAAATATAAATTCAGATATAAGTCACTGTAAAGGTCTTGGGTTCAATCATCAGTACTGTAAATAAGTTAATAAATAATGTGACATCAAAATTTGTAAGATATCGCTAAAACAGTATTTAGAAAGACATATTTTGAAAAAGAATAAAGAATCAAAATCTGTAACTTATACTTTCAGCTTTCCAAATTAGATAGAATCAAATTACTATAAAGCTAAAGCAAGGAAAGAAATAATAATTCACTCACCAAAAAAAAAAAAAAGTAGAGAAGTCAAACATTACCTGTATCAAGAATAAAAGAGGGGCAATCATTACTAATCACGTAGACACCAAAAAAATAATAAAGCAATACTATGAACAGATCTATATCCATAAATTTGATGTCAGAATAGGCAAATGTCTTGAATGGCACACAAACCACCAAAACTCTCACAAGGTGATAAAGGCAACATGAATAGTCAGATATAAAAGGGAAATTATACTAGTAAAAATGGTCAAAAAAAAGGGAAAATACCAGACTCTGAGGGTTTTACTCTTAAACGTTTTCCAGCTTATTCTGTAAAGCCAGCATTAACCAAACACCGAAAATAGATTTTAAAATGTCTTTAATCTATTAAAAACTATCTTAAAACATTATGCTTATTATTGAGAGTCTCAGTTTTTCCCCTTTCAGAGACAAGGCATAAATGTCTTCTCTAAATATTTCTATTGAACTTCAACTGAAAGTTCTAGCTAAGTGTGTTAAAACCAGAAAAATGAAAGACATACAGATCAAAAGGGAAATAATACAGCTACCTGTATTTGTAAACAAGATCATATATAACATATACATGCCTCACTAGGACATGTACATGATAATTAGCAAGGTTGTAAGATACAAAGTCAATATTCAAAAATCGATTGCTTTTCTACCTTCCAAAAATGTCACTCAGAATTTGAAATGTAAAAATAAATTTATATTAGCATTCCCAAAATGAAATCTAACAAACTATGTACAAGATTTGTATACATACAAAATACGGACGAAAGAAATCAAAATCTAAAAAAATGGAGACAGATTTTTGTGTCTGATTTCAAGAGTTGAAGAAAAATTTATTGGCTTTTCCCACTGCTGGTATAACATGCCTGACATGCACATCGAAAGGAGGACAGGTTTATTTGGCTCATGGATCCAGAGAGTTCAGCTCATAGTCAGCAAGGTCCAGGTAAAAACATCATGGTGAAAGGGCTTGGTGAGGCGAAGCCAATCACTTCACAGCAGCTAGAAGCAGAGTAGGTTGGAAAGAGTGCCAAGAAAGACCTCCCATCCAAAGGCACATCTCAGGCTCACCGCCTCCATCTGGGCCCCAATGCCAAATAGCATATTCGCTTATCAGCATCAGAGAATTCATCCACTGATGTGTTTCATGCTCTCAGGATCCAATCACCCCTCTAGGTGTCTCTTAACCCAGTCACACTGACCATTAAGATTAATCTGCACAGAAGATGTTGATTCTCTCCAAAGTCATCTGTATGTGTATTAAATTCACGTTAAAATCCCAATGAGGCTATTTGTGGATATGCACAAGACTTTCAAAAACTTAAGGGGAAAGAACTCTAATATACCAAATTTACTTGTGAAAAAAAGCAGAGTTTGAGGAGTAACATTACTTGATTTCAAGACTCACTACATAAAGCTATAGGAAGAGTATGAGCGGGTGAAAAAAAAAAAACCACAGTAAAGCAATGAAACAGAATAGAGACTGAAAACAGATTCAGCAAAATTGAGTCAATTTATGACAAAGGTACAAAGACAGTGCAAAGGAGAAAGATGCCAGAACTTTGGAAGTTCAAATGCAAAAAATTGATCACATCTTACATATACATATACAGCTCCAGGTGTAGAGCTAGATATAAATAAGACACTGTGATACTTCCACAAAAGCACAGTAGGAGAAGCATACGGCTTTAGGTTTGCTGATAAGTTTCAGACACAATATTCAAAACTGTAAAGTGGGATGTAAATAAAAATTAGAAACTTTTACTTTGTAAAAGTACATTAACAGGATGAAATGACAAGCCATAGGCTGAAAGAAAACATCTGCAAATCATGTAGTGATAAAGACCTTGACTGCAACTTATATAAGGGAGAACACTTATTTGGCATGTGTGAGACTATGCATTCAGTCCCCATCAACACAAAAGATGTGTCTGAGAGAGGAGACTAAACAAAAAGGGGAGAAGGGAGCATGAAGAGAAAGGACAGAAGATTTCAAGGTCGAAGATAAAATGACTACACTTTCCTAAGACTGCTACTCTCTCCTGTAAATATAGGTTCATTTGGATATGGGAAATATTTGTATAGTACATTTAAGAAAATAAAACATACTCTCCTGAAGGCCATTACGGTGTGAAAGTGTGTTTAATGTAGTACCTTTATGTAGAACATAAAATGGAAATAATTTAAATATTTTTAAATAAAAATGGTAGAGCAAATTAAACCATATATTCTTATGGAATATAAATCTGCTATTTTTTTTTAACAAGTGAGACTTACACACAATAACCAGGAATATTGACAGGAACACAGTAATTAAGTTAAAAGCAAAGTTGGACTTGCTGGCACATGCTTGTACTTCTAGCACGCTGTAAGGCTGAGACAGGAGGAATGCAACTTTGAGCCCATTCCAGGCAGGAGTCACTTAGCAAGACCCTGTTTCAAAATGAAACATTTAAAAAAGCAATGAGAATATAGTTCACTGCACTGGATTCCACCCCTATGAACACAAAAAATTGGAAACATGAATTGTTTATCTCTGGAATTTTTCATTTAATATATTCAGGCCGTAGTTAACCAGATAAATAATTGTAACCATGGGAAGCACAACTGTGGCTAGGGAGGGATTTCTGCAATACAGATATGCACACAGGTTATTTACACACATATATTTACTAGCTTTACTGTTGGGGGACTCAAAGCAATGACACACATCAGATGAACACATCACAGAAAATCTCCTTTCTAAGACCATTTTCAAATACAGTGAGACAGGGCGCCTAGAATGGCTGATTTTAGGGTTGGATATATCAAAAAAGACACAGAAGCCAACTGAAATAGCTCCTGTTAGCAAAATGGAATAATTTGAACAATAAAATAATGCCATGTGAAGTTATACATGGCCAGGAGAAAAATAAACACCATCTCCACCCCCCACCAAATCCCACCTTGACATGCTATATAAGTTAGGTCATCTTTGGTATTATCCCAACTTTTAAACATAAAGTTATTTTGTTGTACAGGCTGTATTTTTAGGAAATAGGATAGAATATACCAGAAACACAGCTTTATATATAAATAGACAAACTATAGAATGCTCAGAAAGGAAGAGCCCATGTTATGGGTGGTAAGGTTTTTGACACATTTAAGGGAGAATATAAAGTAAAAAATGGCCTTTGTTCCAAGAATGTGGGGAGAACTCCATGACTGCCAGGGCCTGGCTTTCTTTGCTGGAAACGTGATGTGGGGGGCATACATATAGTTTCAGAGTGGGGTGATGCTTAGGGTAGCATTGCTGATGTGCAAGCAGCTGATTGGGACTTTTTTCGCACCACAGTAAGTTGTCATAGGGGAGGGGAAAGTGACCTCAAAGTAAACATCCCTTGGTCCTGCCTCCCACTGCCGTAATATCATATCTAGGGCAAAATCCTTTCAATGGGCTCAAATGAACAGCAGTACAGTACAGTGTTATACTTGAGCCCTTATTGGGTTCCAAGAACTATGGGAGTGAGCATAGGGACATAGGAAAATAAACAAAACAGTCCTTAACTTTGTTTTTGAGACAGGGTCTTGCTATGTAGTACAGGCTGGCCTTGAACTCATTGATGTGGCCCAGGCAGGCCTCAAACTCATGGTGATCCTTCTACCTTAGCCTCCTGAGCGCTGGAATTACAGACATGTACATGTACCACCACACCTTGCCCAGTCTTTGACTCTTAAAAGCTAACTGCCTAATAAGAGAGGAAAGGCTACGTATCACTCACACAATAATACATGCAATTACTTAGAGGAGTGTGAATGGAAAAGGAGTCAGATTTGTTCAGTATGATCTAAGGAGCAGTCAGGAATGAAGGGTGATATCTGTAACAGGCTGAGTGGAGCCTCACATCTGGCATTCAGTGAATGATTAATATAAGATCTCTGGCCTGGGGATGTAGGTCAGCTGTGGAATAGTTAGTGCTATGTTAGGTCCTGGTTTAATCCCCAGTGCTGCAAAGAACAAAACGAAACTCTCCCACAAATGCTAAATTCTGCTAAAATCAACGTATCTCACCATAATCAGTATAGAAAAATACAGCTTCCATTTTATTTTTTATGGTAAACTAATGGTTTAAAGTATAAAAAGGTAAAAGTCTAAAATGTATTAATATAAAATTTAGTTTAATTTTATCTCTACCTTCACTAATTTGTAGTTAGCATAATTTGCCTATCAAGGAGGTTGCCACCATTGATACAACAAATAACCACTTTTAGACTATGGTGTAGGTATAGGCTAAAAGTGTAATTACCCTAACATCTACTTTTTATTAATGCATGTGTGAAGTATGCAATGTTACAGTCCTTGTGCAGAGTTGGTACACATACAGAATGCCTGTTAATTCCTTGTATCATCCCCTCCCCCTCCCACTGACCTCCCTTCCCATGAGAAAGATCTCTCTATCCAGTTCCTATACGCTTTTATTTTTTATTTACATTTTGGAATTCTCATACAACAGAAACCACGAGACATTTAAGCTTGTGTGTCTTAACTTAATGTGACTTAACGTTACAGTCTCAAGATATAACTCAGTAGGGAATTCAGCCTCTAAAACTGCACAAACAATTAGCAAAACCCTGCTTTCCCTGTTTTGAACTATCTAATCATAGGGATAGGGGTGGGATAGGGGGTGTTGGAGGTGTTGGCACTGGTGGCTGTGCGCTCTGGGTTGGAGGAAAGTATAAAGCGAGTCCTCAGCAAGACACTGGCTTCAGAAAATGTGTTTGCTGTGACGACTTCATCTTCCCACACCACCGTTATCTCTGGCACCTTAAGACTGGGAAGTAAGGGCTGGGGATGCTACTTGTGGTACAGTGCTTGCCTTGCACGCAAAGGTCCTGGGTTTGAGCCCCACAGTGAAAAAAAAAAAAATGATTAGGAGGTAAATTCCAAAAGCCTGTGGCATCATGGCTGTGCCAACTGTGCTGTGTTTCTAATAACGCAGAGGACAACAAATGCATGTCCTGTATGGCTGAGTGACCAGCAAGTGCAGTCCCTGCTTCGAGCAGCAGTGGTGTACCTGTCTGTCTTCTGGAGACTGCCTAGGGCTGGACAAGCTCAAAAGGCCTGAAAGGAAATGGGACAGTGAAGTGTGCATTCTGCAGAACAGAGCAGACTACACCACGTGTGCAGCACGTGAAAGTGCCAAGCCAGGCAAAAATCTCACTTTCCAGGATTGGCATACCTTTCTCATCTTTGAATCCAGCGGCTTCATCCTTCAAATGCGGTCCCCTTCATTCTCTTCTGAGCCCTCTCAGAGCATAACAAACACTGGAAATTTTAAATCTGGAGAGCAGAGAAGACTCAAGTGTGTGTATCGTCTGACTCAGTTCACACAGCCCATGAGCTTTAAAATTTCTCAATCAACTGGAGATTTTAAATTTGGAGTTTCAACTGATTCTAACAGTGAAGAAGTTAAAAAAAAATACAGTAGTAATAATAATTTTAATTCTAGACTTTCTCTGGGGCAGCAAGAAGAGAGGAACAGTCAACAAAGTACACTTTAGCTTCTGGAATGCAAACCGGAGTCACAGCTGATAAAAGTGCAGCAAAGCCTATTTTCAGTTTCCTGAACAACACCACTTCCTCTAGGTCAAGCAGACACAGGCCACTGCACTTGGGGGTGGCACACTTGGTTATGCCGCCTTCTCCTGCACTGCACCTGTGGCTGCCTTTGTGTCTGGACAGGCCAGCTGGCCTGTGAGCAGCTCTCCGCTGCTCAATCCAGTCTTGCTCAGTCTGTGCTTTTCTCTCAGGATAGCACACGAGCAGCCATATCCATCATAGCTACAACCATCATGGTGTCTGCCTTTGAACCAGGCCCCAGCAGTGAGACTACTGTACCCTCGGCTTTCAGCCTGGGAGTGACACCCACTTTTAGCTCTGCAGGACCCCATGGTACTGGGTGATCAGCGCCATCTGCCAGGCCAGCATTTAGTGTTAACCAGATTATACCACTTGGAAAAAATCAAGAGGCCAGACTGGCTAATGCCCTGAGCTTTAGATCTCTATCATCTTTAACTGCATTATTTTCCAGTGGTTTTTAGCCTATGCTGCCTACTTTTGGAGCTGTGTCCAACAGAAGCCACCTCCCGTATTTGGACAACTGCCTTGTCGGTATGCATTTAGCTCTGGAACAGCCTCCAAATCCCAGTTTGGTCCCCCAACTTGGCAAGACCACAACAAATCTCGATGTCACAAAAAATAATCAGGAGCAGACACATCTGAGGCCAATCCTAGCACACCTGCAGCCTCAGCTCAGCCCGGGAGGCAATGCATTTACCCAGTCCAGAGCATCAGCATTTAGAATGGGGTCGAAAAGGAAAGGTATGTTCTCTTCTTGTGGATCCTGTTCATAGTCATAAGGTAAACACTACTGTTAAGGACAGGAATTAAAGGTCATAATGGTATGATACACAACAGGTTGAACACAGTTAGTGCCCTTCATCCAGATATTGGATTACAACACATGCCAGGTTTCTCTCAACTCTGATGCCAAAGACCTCAACTTGGAATTTCTCTTTTTATTTAAACCCCCCTTCCTATCTCTCCAATCCCATTTACCCCCTATTCTCTAGAAACACAGAAATAGTATCTAGAGTACCAACTGATTCTTCAAAAAAGCACCTGATTCACTGATTTCACATAGTCTGGCCGTACGCAGGAAGAGATCCCATGTGATAAGCAGCTTTATGCACAGATTCAGCATCTGCACCACCAGGTATGTTCCTAAGCACCTATGGGATGCACTGACATTGTAATTATATCTGAGGGATTCTGTATACATTAGAATTCTGCATAGAAGACACTGAAATAATTTCTATGCCAAATGTGTGCTGGGACAGGTTTGCAAAAATTATCTAACAGGGAAAGCCTCACTGAAGCATGGCAAAGACTTTTTAGATCTTCTTAGATCTATCTCAGTCTCCATGTAGGATTTATATGTGACTTTTTTATTTTCATTTTTTTATCAGCTCTTTCCTTTTTCATGATTTTTTAAAACTTCTATAAATATAACTTGATGTCTGTAATTTTTTGTCATAACATAAATCTGTGAACTTGAAAAAAAAAAAAGGAAACAGTAAACATTCTAATAGGCCACCTGGAAAAGTGTAAAAACAGAACTAGAGTATAAATGTGTGACTACAGAAACCTTCCTCCAGAGACTCCCCTACAGAACTGTCCTCGACTGGGGTTAGGAGAGCCGAAATAGGACATCAGCAATTTAGGGAAGGAAGGCAGGAAAAGAGCAGAGAAGGGAATTTTGTTTCTGGGTCAATAGTTTGGGTTTCTGAATTTATCCTGTACAGTAACTTATTAACAGAGTTCTTCAGCTCCCAATTCTAACAATAAAACACCTTTGAAAAGAATTAGAATTCTGGAAGTAAAAACATACTTATTTACCTTATAGTATCAGATTGAAAATATATAAATTATGAAGTACAATATAGATTATGCTGTCAGCTTTACAGATGGAACCCAGACAAAAGACCAGAAGATTATACACTAAAATATAAACAGGGTAGACTAGAAATAGTTTAAATCTTCTGATTATTGATATTTTCTAAAGCTGACATGTAAGATGTATCATCTTTAAATGAGAATGTTATTTTAAAAAGATGATTATGTTATTCTACAAATTTCTTGGGAAACAGTACTGACAACAGAATAAATTAAAAGCAAAACTGTTGAAACAAAGTTATTTTAATTCTTATAACCAAAGACTCAAAAAAATGGAGAATTAAACAGGCAATTTAATTCCTAAAACAGAAAACCCAAGAAAGTGAAGAAAATATAAAATCTCTAGAACCCTTCCTGGTAAAAGTAGAATCAATTTTTATAAAGAATAAAAATAATTATCAAGGCTGACTTGGCAAAGGCAGGAAAATGTTTCCATGAGCAGCTAAGACTGTGTGAGCCTTCAGCACACAGGAATTTGCCATGGAATCCTGTAGTAGATCCATTTGAGCCACTAAAATAATCTGGGGCACATAGGAAGTACTCAGAGCTTTCTGATGGAAAGATGTCCAGGGCTCATAAATAGGCAAGGCAATTTTCCTCTTAAAGGTAGAATCCCACAAATTACAAGATATACGGGTGCCTGCAGAACACAGTACAACTGCAACTACAACAGAAATGACCCTTAAAGATTTTTTTTAAATGCATGACTTTGTTTCCCTCAAGTAATTACTCACGGGCCTTCTATCAGTGCCCAGTAATGGCCTCCTCAGTGTGCAACACAGGCAGGAAAGCATGTTCTAGGGATTGACATTTACTTACCCTCACACAGAAAGGTCAAAGAGAAGAAGTGTTCTATAGATCAGGCTAGATGATGACCTCATGGTAAAAACCTGTATTGAAAAATGTTCTGGCTGAAATCCTAAGTATCACTGAAGGAGCAAATGTTAGGTTCCAAACTACAACCAAAAAAGCAATCTAAATAACCCACACATACATGGTGAACTAGCATTTGGCAAGGTTTCTAAGCATCCACAATGGGGAAAGGATGACATCTTCATTTAAGAGTGTATTCAACACTTTTCCTTGGCTGGGAAAAAATGCCCACAAGCCAAATTACATGACATTTATTTTGCATCACGGTTTTTGGGTGGATTTAGCCCATGGTCAGCTGGCTCTGAGGCAGCACTGTGATGGAACAAGGGCATGGTTGAGGGAATGCTGCTCCACCCATAGAGGCAAGAAGCTGAGTATAAAGGGAGAACCCTGAGAAGAAGCTGTACCTCCAGGCCCAGGGACACACCTCCTGCTACCTTTGTGCACTAATGAGTACAGAAACTCACTGAGGAACATTTTAGACTTGTATCAAAAGGTATCTGGAAAGCTGCACACTCACATGCAAAAAAAAAAAAAAAAAAAGAGAGAGAGAGAAAGAAATACCAGACATCATCTTTATATCAATATAAAAAATCTTTATATCAAAATCAACTCAAAATGGATTAAAGAATTAAATGTAAGACTTGAAACTCTTAAACTCCTAAGAGAGGATACATAAAGCTCCCTGACATTGATCTTGGTGATGTTTGGGTATCATAACAAAAACACAGGCAACAAAAAGCAAAAATAAACAAATAGGACTCAAAATGGGACAACAAAATGAATAGGCAACCAATGAAACGGAAAAAAATATTTACAAACCATGTATCTGGTAAGTGATTAATATTAAAAATACTCTGGAACACACGCAACTCAACAGCAAAGAAATCAAATAATCCAATTATGAAAAGGACAAAAGGATAAACAGACATTTTTCCAAACTGTGCATAAAACTGGCGAAGAGGTACACGAAAAGGTGCTCAACATCATTAATCATGAGGGAGAAGCAGATCAAAAAAATGTGAGATACCACCACATACCCATTAGGCTAGCTCCCACAAAGTCCAAAGGAAGTGTTGTTAACACTGGAGAAAGCAGGTCTGTAAGTTGGAACAGCCATTGTGAAAAAAGCATAGAAGTCCTCAAAAAACTGAAAATCTCACTTGAGTGCTTACCCATCCTGTTTTATTTATTTACTCTTGAAATTTTTGAGACAGGTTCTTCCTAAATCGCTAATTCCAGCATTCTGAGAGACCTTGATGGGAGGGTCACAAGTTTGAGGCCAGCCTGATCAACAGAGAGACACTGTCACAAAATAAAAAGTTATAAAAGGATGCGGTGGGAGGCAGCTCAGTGGGAAGACTCTGGGTTCACCCTCCTCACTTCTGCTAAGACTGACAGATCTGGCAAACATTGATCAAATAAGCCAAACGAATGAAGTTAAGCGCACGTCCTCACTCACCAATGGAACCTAGACCATTCACATCCATGGCAATTAAGGACTGTGAGGTGGGGGAAACGGGGAGACACAGTCAAGAAATACAAGGTCGCCCGCAAGAGTAAGTTTTGTTAAAACCTACTGCACAGCACGGTGCATACAGTTAATAACAGGGAACAGGAAATTTCAAAACTGCTACGATACCAAATGTTCTCACAACCGCAGTAAGCACTTACACTGATACATACATTACTTTACGTCACAAATCACATCACTCTCATAGGGAATTACTGTCAACTTACAATGGAATGCAAATAAAACCGCACAGCAGCATATTTTACTAACTTGATGCTCCTACAAAATTTCAGTGTCACAGACACACCGTGTTCCGCGCCCCCCGGGAATCCCAGCTTCGCGGGTCGTCACCCAGGTCGGGAAAGGCGACTTGGTCCAGGTCACGTGACCAAGTTAGTGCCTGAATTAGCACTAAATTAGAGGTCACGAATTCAGACTTGAACCAATTTGCAAATCACTTTTTGTTGTTGTTGACCCCTCAGATTTTTATCCAATGCATAGCCAGCGTTTAGAGCTAACAGAAACCCCAAGTCCTCAGCATCTCTGAACAACCAGTACGGCTCCCCGCGCGCAGGGCCCAGGGCGCTCCGACCCGGCCACGGGGTGCTGCAGCCCGGCCCCGCAGGCAGGGAGCCGACCGCGCAGCCCCGCACCCCCAACCTCCGCGCCCCTCAAGACAGCGCCTCCCGCAGCGTCCGCGCTACCTGCGCCCTGGAGAACTCCGTCTGGGGGCCGCGCGGAGTGCGCAGGCGCCGGCGGCGGAGCCCGAGTGTCTCTCCACACCGCGCCCTCGCCCCGGAGACCCGCGCCGCTGCTCCGTTTCGCTGTTGGCGGGGCCTGGGTGCAGGGAGGTAGCGCGCAGCCGCCCGAGGCGCGATCCTCGACGGTCTACACACACCCGAGTTGAGCGCGGCCCCGCGCCCCCTCGCGGTCTGCCCAGCCTAGCGGTCCTGGCCGCGTCTGCAAGGGAGCGGGGCCCCGCACTAAGCGCTGTGCAACGGCCTCCAGCGCGCGCACGCGCCACACACCGCCCTGCGTGCGCCCCCCCCCCCAGCCAATCGCACCGCCTTCCCAGGCACGTGACACGCACCGACCAATGGCCGCCCAAGGCGGCCCCTGACGCTGTAAGCGGCTCCCAGAGGTTTCGAATCTGCGCGGGAGGCCAAGGGAGGCTGTAAGGATCGCGAAGGGACAGCGGCTGCAGTGCCCACGAGACCGCTGACATCCCTAGATCTGATAGAGGTTGCCTAGGTGGAGCTAGAAGCTCCTGCAGCCGCAGTGTCAGAGCCACGCGTGTGTACATCTCCCCCAGCGGCTTCCCGCTCAAGCTTGATGTTCTTGGTCCAACTCAATACTTGAGTCCTAGTCTTTATTGGTCGGGCTTCAGGTGTTCCAGAGAAATCCTTAAAGGGGTGGAATCCCTGGATTCCAGTGAGGTCCAGTACTTCACATAGCGGCTGATGTACTGCCTGCAACCGAAAGCCCCAGAGTGCAAAAGACCTTTTGGAATATCCCACCCAACAACTTCTACCTGTATGTTACAGAGTTCAGTCCATCAACCTGGCCTCACCAAGCTGGGAAATGTAGTCTTAGCAAAGGCATATTGCTGTCCTTTTTTCTTTTTCTTTTTTTTTTTTTTTTTTAAAGACGTTAAGACAAAACAGGACATAACAGAGCAGATCAGAACAGAACAATGTAAGCAAAACAGTATTTCACCAAAAGACAACTCATAATTAACAATAACTACCACGATGTCTCTTTCTTTAAAATAGTTGAGTATAACTTTATATACAATAGTATTAAACCTAACAAAATATTATAAAAACATTCAAGAGAATGAGAGTGTTACAGGGTTTTCAGAACCAAATAACAGAAAAACCATGGCTACTCTCTCATTTTCCATAGTAAATCTGTTTATACTTTCACACGTAGTATAATCCATTAACATACAACAAGATAGAGACAATGGAAACAGAAGAGCAAGAGCATGGTAGGACTTCACAGTAAGATGATATTATATCAGTACTGGCTATTATAATGACTTGTTTCTCTCAAATTAGCCGTTCATACGGTCACAGATAATAAAATTTAAAAAAACCAGGACAAACACATTACATCTGAGATCTTTATAAGGCTTCAAAACAGTGTAGTGGGGAATCATGATTACCCAAAAGTCTTATGTACTCTTTCGTATATTAGGGAGACTACGGTATTTATACATGTGAGTTTGATTTATTTTGTTTAGGAATATGGTCTCAATTTATTAGTAAATTAATTAGTAAATTAGCCCATTTATTAGTAAATATCTCAATATGATTATTCTTTATAGCTGATTAGTACTCCATTGTATAAAAATACCACATCTTTTTTATCCATTCCTTAGTTGATGGACACTTAGGTTATTTCCAAGATCTGACTATTACAAATTGTGCTGCTATAAACATGCGTGCACATACATCACTGTGGTATGATGTTTTCAATTCTGGGAATATGACCAGAAGTGGAATAGCTGAGTTGAATGGGACCTCCAACCCCAGATTTTTGAGGCATCTCCAGACTGACCTCCATAGTGGTTGCACCAGTCTGCACTCCCACCAACAGTGCAGGAGAATTCTTTTTTCCCACATCCTCTCCAGCACTTGTTGTTGGTAGTTTTCTTGATCCTGGCCATTCTTTCTGGAGTGAGATGGAATCTCAGTGTTGTTCTAATTTGCATTTCTCTAATGACTAATGATGATGAACATTTTTTCATGTATTTATTTGCCATTTGTATTTCTTCATCTGAGAACTGTGTATTCATCTCAGATGCCCACTTTTGGATTGGGTCCTTGAGTTTTGAGGATCTGATTTTTAAAAATTCTTTATATGTTTTAGACAGAAGTCCTTTGTCTGAGGGGCAGTTCACTAAGATTTTTTCCCAGTTTGTGGGTTTTCTTTTCACTATGCTGTAGATTTCTTTTGACATGCAGAAACTTTTTAATGAGATGTGACCCCAGTTATTGATTCTGGGAAGTAGTTCCCATATGGTTTGATTCCTATTCATGAATTCTCTACCTACCCCTATGTCTTCAAGATGTTTACCTACTTTGTCTTCCAACAGATTTAGTGTTTTTGTTTTAATATTCAGATCTTTGATCCATTTAGATTTTAGTATATGGTGACGGGCATGGGTCTAGTTTTAATTTTCGGCATATGAAGAGCCAGTTTTTCCAGCACCACTTATTAAAGAGACTGTCATTTTTTTTAGTGAACATGTTTGGCCCCTTTATCAAAGATAAGGTGGTTGAGTGTGTTGGTAGTTGTGGTTGTATCTTCTAGTCTATTCCATTGATCTTCAGACCTATTTTATTGCAATACCGTATTGCTGTTCTTAATGAAATCCCGTTGCAAAGAAGACAAAAAACAGTTTGGATAGGTATCTAGCAGTTGCTGCCACTTTCCTGTTTTTCCAACTTTGCAAGTGGACTTGTTATTTTACACAACTCAATAAAAAGAAGTCCTCCCCAAGATGTGCAGAACAATTTACTGAGCAAGTTCATACTCTGGCAGACCCTGTACTGGATACTTATTGACTGTTATTACTGATTCTAAGATACAAATGACACCGGAATACAAATGGTGAAAAAGTAGAAGGAAGAGGAGCTATAGGATGCCATGGTGGTCTGATATGAGTTATCTGTACAGTAGTATAAGTCTATGGAATTAAGAATAATAATCCTGTGGGTTAGTTGACAAAGGTCCCCCTGGCTAATGGCCAGAATGGTCAACAAACATGGAGATAAATCATTGCCTTGTAGCTCAGAAACAGCTTTCATGTTATATGCCCATACAAAAAAAGAAAGATTGTCACATCAGAAAACCAGTATAGTAATGTTGGAAAACATTGTTGTACATGGTAGAGTAAGAGAACCGAAGAAGTTGATTCGGAATTTGTTTCATCACTATGCAAGGGAGAACTGTACCCAATCTCGGGATTTTTCACAAGTAATGGAATTGGTTTTATGGATTTGATAAACAGTGCACATTGTACACTTGTGCTAAGTATCAATTTGTGTGGCAAATGTCACATTGTGCTGTCCACAGTCTATGAGGAGATGTGAATGTACAGAAACTTTGAATACATAACTATAGTGGTAGTTTGGGGACTCGTGGGAAGGGCAGCCAATCTAGAAGGGAAGAGGAAAAAAGACTTGTTAGAGAAAACTTCTAAAGAGGGGATCACTTTCATAACCCCAAACTAAATACCTAGTATGTTAAATGAGCACTGTGTTGGTAAATCCAGGTGATATAAACATCAGTTCTCTAATACAATCTGGATGGATATTCCATGAAGAGTCTAATAATATGGACAAGAATCTTGTCAGTTTTACTGTGATTTTACATTTACCTAACATACTTTTTGGATTTTTAAGTCTTTCTTAGGGCAGCCGTCATAATAAATCTATATGAACATTTACGTTTCTTTTTAACATTTCTGTTGTTTTCAAACTTCTAGTTCATCTGGAATTTGTTTGTACATTACTATTTATATCATAGTTAGGTCTTTACTTTTTAAAGGTAAATTTGTATTTAACTTCAAAAATTACAAATTAATAGGGTGACGTGACGTTTCATTCTGTAACATAGCTTGGATACTGTTTAAATCAGGTTAAGCATATCTACCTCCTCCTTTGTCATTTCTTTCAGTAAAATAGTTCTAAACTCTATCTGCTTGAAATATACAGTACATTATTGTTATCATGATAGTACATGAGTACCAGCTCCTAACCAGAATGTAGTACCCAGACCCAATTGTATTGTTAAATAAGCATAACCTGATTTTTACTTAAATCTTACACAGCTTTGTACAACAAAGCACCATAAATTTATTGGTGGAAAGCACCACACATGCTCTTTCAGGTTTGGGAGCCATAAGTCCTGTCACAGCTCCTGTCCCTAGGCCACAATCTATGTATTGACCAGGAGTGTCAGTCCCCGCAGGGGCTTCACTGAGGAAAGTTCCAGGTCCAAATCCCTTCAGTTTATTGGCACAATTCCTTTTGTGGTTTCACACTGAAGCCATTTTCTTACTGACTGAGTCACGGGCTGTGTATCTCTAACAATTTGTATAAATATCACCCATAGATGTTAACATTGTTTCAACTTTTTCATTAGTATAATCTGTTAAAACAGTGAATATACTCATTTGTAGACCTTTGTGACATCTCTATCCTGTTTTTTAGGATAACTGGAGATTTAGCTCAGTGGCATAAACACCGACCTGGCAAGCACAAGATTGTGAGTTTTTCCTCTGGCATTTAAAAAAAACTAATTTTTAGGGTAGTTTCCAGAAATGGAATTGTTGTTACATACTTTTAAAATCTTTTTTAATGGCAAAATAGCCATCTAAACAACTAAGCCCATCTAAACCTCTAAGAATATATGAAACTGTTGGTTTGTACATTTACCATCACTGGCATTATCTATAAACTTAATATTTGCAATTTTTAAAAAAAATTATTTTTAGAAGATACAACCACAACTACAAACACACTCAGCCATCTTATCTTTGATAAAGGAGCCAAGCAGTTTCACTGGAAGAACGACAGTCTCTTTAACAAATGGTGCTGGAAAAACTGGTTCTCCATTTGCCGAAAACTAAAGCTAGACCCATGTCTATCATCATGTACTAAATTAAAATCTAAATGGATCAAAGATCTGAATATTAAAACAGAAACACTAAATCTATTGGAACACAAATTGGGTAGAAACCTTGAAGACATAGAAGTAGGTAGAGAATTCATGAACAGGACTCAAACCGCACGGGAAATACTGCCCAGAATCAATAATTGGGACCACTCTTATTAAAAAGTTTCTGCATGTCAAAAGAAATCTCCAGCATAGTGAAAAGAAAGCCCACAAACTGGGAAAAGATTTTAGTGAACTCTCTTTCAGACAAGGGACTCTTGTCTAAAACATATAAAGAATTAAAAGAAACTCAGACCCCCAAAATTCAAAGATCCAATCCAAAAATGGGCATCTGAGATGAATATGTACTTCTCAGATGAAGAAATGCAAATGGCAAATAAATACATGAAAAAATGTTCATCATCATTGGTCATTAGAGAAATGCAAATTAAAACCACACTGAGATACCATCTCACTCCTGAAAGAATGGCCAGGATCAAGAAAACCAACA